CACTCCATAAATCTGATCTGTGGCATTTGGTGGCACAACGGTGGTAAGTTTATGACAAGCTAGAGGAAGAGAAACATGAGCCAGAACGTCCCATCTAGTCGTTCATTCTTGTCGTACAAGTTTGTAAATCAGTCAAGTTATTCTGATTTTTGATATTTTCTCTCGTTTCATCGTGAAACGTTAAGTTTTATATTTAATATCACTACGAGAAGGACGGACAGCCGAAAGAAAGATCGACTGCACGGGTTTTAAAATATCTCGAGAATATTCTCGAAATCTTGTTTCCTTCAGAATTACATGGAAAATCGATGTGACTCGTTTATGATACGAGACTCGATATAGTTTTATCTTTCTTTTTTTTTTTTTTTACTAATAATGGCGGTGATGCAAAGGGGGAAACCGCTTAGACCTGAAGGGTACAATTATGTGGTTCACATTTAAGAGAGTGATCGATTAGAATAAATAAAAGAAGAAAAAAAAGAAAAAAAGGAAAAAAGAGAAGAATAAGCAAAGAAAAAGGGACAACGAAGGAAGATTATAGGATACCACCGTTATGTCTTTCACGAGAGAAAACTTTTAACTCTTTTCAATGCCGATAATCAACGATGAGAGAGTAAAAAAAACCAACGCATGGGAAGAAGAAGCTTTAAGGTTGCATCTAAAATTGCGTGCCACAAATTAAACAGTTAATAGTACAAGCTTTCTTCAGATAATCCATATATGCTATTATCGGCGCTTTCTCTCGTTCTGTTTCTCTTTATCTCTATCCTTCTTCGGATAAACGTTTGATTTATGAAACTTACAATTAATGGCAGAGTTAACGCAGTAATACGCGCGTGGAGTAGTATATTTTCTAACAAGCGATTCGACTAAAATCCAACAAACAGTAAAGATTTAATAGAATTATTATATACGGGTAGGAATTATCGCGTATTTCGTATTAACAAATATTGTGGTGAGGTGGATTCTTATGCTTGTTTTCCATTCCTTCTTTAATCTCTTACATCCGATGACGCTCATATTATTCGGAAGAAAATGAAGGTAAAAAAAAGTGTAAGGTAGGTAGAGAGGAGAAGGAGAGAGATCGATGATCGATCGAAGTTAACGGATCGAGCGTGATTAAAGGTTCTCTCGTAAGGTGGGTAAGAAGGTACTCGCATGTATGCGTACACGTTGTTAAGTACTTTGAAGGAACGCGAACAAGTTCAGTGCGCATCTACAAGCTGCCGAAGGTGAATCTTCATTTTCGGATGGTCTCGGGTTCGGCTTTATACGATGCTTCTCTTCCCGAGGTAATTATTAGTCCATCAGCAACTCCCGATGGCCACATGGCTGTTATAAAGAGGTGTTCTCTATCTCATTCTTTCTCATTCCTTTTTCCACTCGGTTCTCGGACGCGGGCCATCTTCCCTCCACAAGGCCGCCCTGTCATTAACCGCCCCCGTTAAGGTCCCTCGGTCCCATTTTCCCTTTCAACCCTGCACACTCTAATGTAACGATCTTCGATTCATCGGCTTTCGAACGTCCACGTTCAATCCGATCGATTCGAATCAAGGAAGTCGCCCTAGGAATTCTTATTTAATAAGCTTGACGATTAGTGTGTTAGTTACTTTGAATTTATCTTTTCAATTATATAAGTAAATAGGTGTATATATATACGTTTACCAATCCACGTGTTTAAGATATTTTATTTGGTACGTTCCCTACCGTTTATTATCAACAATCATAATATCCACGATCTACCTAACGCTCTAATCATTTGCATAGAAAGTATCTACAACGTAGCAATTAACGGCGCACAGTTATTATCCTTTCAGATAAAATTTAAAAACACGTTTGTAATTATTCGTAATTCTCTTACGTAAGGTAAATAAATAAATAAATAAATACAATTACAATCGGATAGTATAATATTATTATTGCAAGATGAGAAAAGAGAGAAAGGAATCGGTTCGGTTTTATTTCCTTTTTTTGTTTTTTATTTTCTTTTTGTTGTCACGCTCACCCCTCGAAGATAGAAGAACATTATCCTACTCTAGAACGTTTACTGCTTCGTTTTCCAAACGCAAACGCATGCACACGCGTAACGAGTAGCACGCTTATTCACGTACCTACTACTACTACTACTACTACTACACACAAAAGCATTCCCATGAGAATGGATTGCAAAAGCGTAAGGTTCATTGAATGCGATTTTCCGTGATATCGCGCAGCTAGGCCGCGTTCGAATGTTAACAAAAGCCACCCTCGCGGATATTACGTAAGCGTTTGCTTCGCACGGTCCAACGAGCATCACAGTTTTGGGTGGTGGTAGTCGACGTTAAAAGGCCTTACGTTCGATTCGTGCCTCTAGTTGTAAAACATCCCTTGTTCCGGCTGACTACCACCGCACACTGACATCATCACACCATCATACGTTTTCCTACCGTTAAGGGTGGATCGCACCTTTTGTGGTCCGATAGCACGCGATCTACGCATCATCGCCTCCTTCAACTACGTACTGAGAAAGAAAAAGAAAGAGAAGGAAGTAATGCCGATTGCCCTCATTCCGCGAAATCATTTTTCTCTCTCTTTCTCTCTCTCTCTCTCTTCGAGATTGCCTTTTCTTCCTGTATTGTGTAGTACCGTTGCGTGAGATTGGAACGGAAATCGGCTCGTCCCGAGGTGCCATTTTATTATCGAAAATTATGTTACATTATTTTACAATTTCTCATTCGCGGAGAAAGGATAAAGAGTGGGTGTTGGAAGATGTGAAAAAAGAATTGGTGATCCCACCTATCTCCATTTTTGATAGTTACGATAAAATATATTATCGTGTCTCATTTTATTATCTCTTTTGTTTCGTTCCTTTTTCCATTTTTTGTTTTTTTTGTTGATTGCTACCATGTGAAACTAGGTATCTACCAACTATGGTTGAACATTAAGAAATTGATGTCGACCACCATTGGTGAGATATTACGCGCAAATTGGCCGCAGAATTTCTCTTGGCCGGGACATATAGTCGTAGCTTATCTTACGGTGTTGTCGGTGAAGAGCACGAAGAGCGGTTATGAATGGACCACGATTAGATGCTCGTCCCGCCGCAGTGGCGCCGCAGCCTTCTTCCATTATGGAAAATTAGATCCTAATGCGAGCCTGACGCGTTCGTCCACGTCGCGGTCGGATCAATGGCGTAGACACTTATCTTATATTTATTATTCTCTTATATACCTATAATTCGAGTCTAATTAACCAAACAAAATTTTGATTTTAATTCATTTATCAAGAAGAAAAGAAACAAATAGAAAAATATCAATGAAAATTAAAGTTTCCATTTCGTATATTATTTTTCATTTGTTTTCTCTTTAAAATTCTAACGTACGTAAAATTATTTTTATTTGAAACGATTATATAAAAACGAGTTTGAAAAATGGAGTTTTATTTGACCGATGATCGATCGAAGATTCGATCGAGGTTAACGCGAAAGTCAGACGCCAATGGTTCGAAGAATGATAATTGGTTCCTACTTCGTCGTACGTTTTACCGAGCGTTCCGCTTTATAAGATGTAGTCGATAAGCATTTGAAATTCAAACTCCGCGATTAAAATCGCATTAGGCGCGAGACGAGACGATATATAGCGGTGATTCTCTCTCGGGCAACTTTACGCGGATCGTTCGAGGCGGTGGCATTATGATATCCGAGATTCTAATAGTTTTCCATAGCGGGCTTGGTTTCGTCATCATCATCATTATTATTATTATTATTATTATTATTATTATTATTATTATACCGTACAAAATGGTACATTAACTTTATATATACGGGCTAAGGATTCCATTAAAATATCAAGACAAGTTTTACTTCTTGTATATAGATACGCTACCTACACATACTTAAAGAAGTATTCCCATCGAGGAGAAATAATAACGGGACATGGGGTTTTGTGCGTCGATATTTAAATAACAATGACAGGCATACCGTTACTATGGGTGAATGTCGATAGGAGGGCTCCGGGTCACAGAGAGTGGTTCGGTCCTCGCGAACTAAGAAATGACGAAGAAGAAGAAGAAGGAGAGGATTCGATCGAACAAGCCGGGAGCGAAAAACGTAAGAGAAGAGATACAGGAAGAAAGAAAGAGAGAAAGATAGTTGGGGTGGGGGAGAGAATATTCGTCGCGCGTGCTCCTTCCATTCTCTTCCCTTCCTATCTTTTCCCTTCCCTTAAAAAGCTACGACGAAGAACACGCAACGGTGACGGCGGCTCGAAGAGTATGCGCGCGCATTTGACGAATAAATCGGTTCGTTCGTGCGAGAAAGAACTCGTGAGGGCCTAGCCCGGCTCGGCTCGGCGCGAGGGAGATGGAAAGAGGTTGGTCCGATGTTTAGGAGTGGGGGGTTTTGCTAGAGTTTAGGAGTGGGGATGGAATCGAGTCGAATTAAGGGTAAGCCTGTAAATAGGAGGGGCCTGTTCACGCACATGGGCGCGGACTTGACTAACCTCGAGTAACGCCCATTCGGCCGGGCTCTAGTTTCTTTGGAACGCCCACCGTGTCCTCGCCCGGGGCACCCCCGGAGCCAACTTGCCAACCTACTCGCCAACCTACTCTACCTCCTCTGACGTGCACCATTCCCCTGGCTCTGATCGGGGAAAGCCGTTCGGTTGGCCGGCAGTCTGTCACGGGGCGAAGAGCGGGAACCACGTTAACCGGTTCCTTCAACCAGCTCCAGTCAAGCTTTTTTTCCGACGGTACACACGCATTCCGTTCCTTCAGCCCGTGCCGAATCACGCAGAGTAAAGAAGTATCTAACCCTGTTCGATCGTTCTTCGGCTTTTGCCGTCGTTGTTCTTTCGTCATCGTTGTCATCGTTGTCATCGTCGTCGTCGTCGTCGTGATCTCGTGTGCTGTGTGTTGACCTTTTTCGAACAAAAAAAAAAAAGAAAAAGAAGAAACGCGAGCGCAGCAGAAAGACAACACGACCTTTTTTTCCTTTTTCTTTTTTTATTAAAAAAATAAGAGAAAGAGAAGGAAAAAAGACTCAACACGTTCTGGTGAATTAAAGAATCGCTTAAATCTACGGTCCAAGTGTCGAGGGACCTAACGACATGCTGACCGACATGACACCAGCCGCGGCTGGTCAACTTTATCCGCAGCTGCAATCCATCGCCAAGTCACCAGCTCATGGACATGTGGTGAGTAATAGTCTCAGGCCGAGCATTTCTCTTCTTCTTCTTTTTATTCTTCCTCTTCGTTCAACGTCTTTACATTACTACCGACAATTCGATTATCTAGAGAACGAACGTACCTACTATTCCACTAGAATATTATTAACTAAGTGACTCGTCGATCGTTCCTTTTCTTTATTCATAAGTGTAACTAGGCTAGGAAAAATGAGAACGGTAGAATTCTACAAAAAGAAGATAAAGGAAAAAAGATATTATTTCCAAAGGTCTTTCACTTTAGATCGATAGATCATTTCTACTTTCTTTCGTATAGGGATCTCAATCCTACTTTACCAGCAGGTAGAGAAAAAAGATCGATTTTGAAGATCAACCGCTACCGTCACCTTTCGACGGTATCTTCACCGTAAGGTCGTCGTCGATCAGAGATCTTGTCGGTAGAACAAATTAGTGGCCATTTTGAAAGGTGTCGCACCTTTCAAAGCATCTAAGGGTACGAGATAACTCCCATCTTTGACTCCCTTCGTTCATCTCTTAACCAATCTCATCAGCTACCTTTAAATTTACCACTAATATTCTCTATGTGAATGTAGATATAATCTAAAGTTCTTTTTTTTTTCTTTTTTTTTTTTCTATTTTCTCTTTTCTCTTTTTCGTTGGAAAATTTCAACGAATTTCAAGTATTATATTATTACCTGAAATAAAATAACGAAACCTCTATTATGCTCGTATGTTAAAAATTATTTTCCTTGAATATCGTCGGAAGAATTGCATTCCAAAATTTATTTTTTTTCTAAATATTCAGCAAAAAGTAGCATAAAGGAAGGATCATTATCGAGTAAATCCCCTCAATCTAAATCCAGGATCATCCAGGATAATCCAACCTGTTTTGACAGGACCGGTAATTCTTGAAGACTTCTTCTCTTTCATCTCTCTCTCTTTTTTTTTTCTCTCCTCTTCCTCCTCTTCCTCCTCCTCCTCTCATCGTTCTCCTTTTCTCGACCACGAATCGAGTGGGCAATAATATTGGATCCTTTTCCAACTCGACGACACGTGTTCAAGTTGTTCCTCTACGTCTCTTAGCTTGAACTCTTTATTTTATGACTCGGCAGGAAGAACGCACTCCCGTCGGTATGATTTACGAGTCGACCTAAAAAAGTAATTAAATCCGTAGACACCGAAGTGAAAGGCGAAGTATATTTATTAATGTAACCAGAAATCTGTTTTTTCTTTCGCTTTGTGTCCATATCTCTCTCTCTATTTCTCTTTCTCTCTTTCTTCCTCTCCTCCCTTCTCCTTCTCTCTCTCATATTAAATTTGAAAAAAAGGTATTACAAGCACGCGACCTTGATAAAGACACACGCGTTACTTGTGCATGCATATTATACACTACAAATTAAAATTAAAATTACAGTTACGAAAAAATATTAATGCCACACGATAAAAATAATATATTTTGTGTCGTGATATAGAAAAATATATTTGCGATGATACAATATAATAACAACACCATTACAGTTATAAAAATTGTTTGGATATACGTTGAGAGAGAAAAAAAAAGAAAAACAAGATTTTTCCTTTCTCCTTCCTCCTTTCTAGAAAGAATTCGAGTGTCGAATGTATCGAGTGTCCTTCGACACAATAGTCCTTGCGCAAGGTTCTCAAGAATGAAACGAACAGGGCTGCCTCCTCCCTGTCTACCTGTGCACCCGAGGAGCCAATTATTTGTCTGATTTTCTTTGTGCTCCGAAGAGGATCCACTTGACAGAATGCGTGGGTAGGAAGAAACACGATGCTTACTTCCTCTAGGATCCTAACCAATGGGAAGATACGTGCGAAGATACTCTATACGTCACGTACGAAAAAGATCTTAGTTCTTTCTTTTTTTTATTCGGATAGGGTGGGTGGGGGGGGGGCCGATTTCTTTATCGAAGTTTTTTTCGGTGGTGATCATTTTCTCACGTTGTTTTCCTTTGATTCGCTAGCTTCACGTTCTTTCTTTATTTTTCTTTTTTTTGTTTTTTTTTTTTTACGGATCGACCTGTCTCGACCTAAATTTCTTTTTTATATTTAAAATGATTCCGTTTTTTCTTCGTACAGGACCAATGGCTATTTTACAAACTCGATCGATAACGCGTCAATAGTTAATTCCCTTCGTATCTATGTAATACTAATATACATCGATCTACAAACTCTTCTTATTCTCCGAACGATTTTCACTAATTCACGAAGCAAACTTATAGCACCTTTCCTTTTTTTATTTATTGATATAATATATAGGTATATCTATCTATCTCTCTTTCTTTGTTATTCTAACTAAAACGTTTCATACATATATACTTGTTTCTATCTCTCTCGTTAAACATTTTATATTATACACGTAAGAAAATCGATAAAAATCAAGAAATTATTAACAAACTTGTCTTCCATTAACTGTCGTCTTGATCTTGATAGTCAATATAAGTTGACTTTTAAAGAAGTTAAAAAGAACGGTTCTCTCGAATTCGCTCAACATAGTGTAGTGTAGTTGATGATATTTAATACCCACCTAGATGCGCAGTTACACCTGTCAAACTCATAAGAGAACATTTGTATGACATCGTTTTCCGGTTTTCTTCTTTTACACCGTCGGTCCACTTCACTTTAACGATCGGAAAATCCGATAATCCGATTCCTCGTGTAGGGGTGAAAAGAAGAAAAAGTCTTTTCTCGAGGAATCGCCACCGTTGACATTTTCAAGGATAACAATGGACTGCGAACTGGGAATCTGTCGCAGAAATGCTTCCTTTAGGCCCTTATTCATGGTTACTACGAAAACGAAGAAAAAAGGTAGACGAGAGTGAGCAACAAGGAGAGAGGGCTTTTTATGAGAGACTTTTAAGAGGCTTTACCTGGAGCACCACCGGATGCTTCAACGAAAATGCCATCCTAATTTGTTCTCTTTCTGTGGAAAGGAGAAGAAATGGGGGGACGAGGGTGGGCAGGGGGGGGGGAACGAGAGACTGGCTGGCTAGCTAGCCTAGAAGAGAGGAGACTGGACATTATTTCCTTAAACCGACCGTAATCTCCCGAAAAAAAACACGCAATTCTTCTTTCAGTCCTTTTTTTTCTTTTTTTTTTTTTTCTTTTCCCCTCTCATCACGAGAATCGCACGAAACAACGAATTTACCCCAAAGGCTACTACTACTACTACTACTACTATGCCGTCGCCGCGACTGTTCGAACGAATTTCTTGATTTCTTCGAATTTTTTAATAGTCTCCTATGTAATATAAATATTAAGAAGGAGGGTGAAAAAAAAAGAAAGAAAGAGAGAGAGAGAAAGAGGAAAAGTTATGACGATAATATCTCTCTCCTCGTAAACGTTTATGATACTTCTTCATGAACGTGCGAAAAACGATGTGGTCTCGTTGGGAAAGCTCGTGTGTGATCAAAACCGCAAGGATTCTCCGATGTAAATTGCAAGTTACAAAATTCCCAGCGGTTATGGCTACTCGTGCGAGCTCGTTGAAAATCGTTTTATAATCGTCGACAATTTTACGAGTCCTTTACTCTCTCTCTCTCTCTCTCTCTCTCTCTCTCTCTCTCTTTTTATCATCGTTGTGAATAAATCTACGATAAATTTTCTTCCTTTCGATAATGTGCTACCTTCATACGACACATCAACGCGTGTAAAGTGAAATACCAAATAAAAAGATATTTATCTGCAGATACGCGCGCGAAAAGGGAAAAGCTACGATAAAATTGTAATATTATATTCATCGTGATATTTAATACGACGATCAACAACATTTTCGAAAACTCGCTACTTCTCGTACTCATTGTTAGTATATTTTGTTCGTTTCGTATAATATATATCTGTAGATTGGAATTCGACAACTGGCAGATGTTCTACGATGTGACAACATGGCTGCCATTATTCCTGAAACGGTTTACCCTTGGAAAACCGTTTTTAGGTATGATTGATCGTTCCTAAGAACTGTCTACTTTCAGAGTATAGCTCGTCACTTTTTCTATGAAATTCAAAAAATACAATTCTGACCTATCGATTTTGTTCGATCGACCGATATTTAATGTTGACTTCTAACGACAATTTTTTTGCCTACACTAAAATGCCTTATTACTTTTGACGGATTATTAAAAATTCATAATACGAAGTTAGGTTCGTGACAATGAATCTTAGGAAAATAATATTTTCGTTCAAATTACCTAATAGTTCTTGACATCGTTTGACCTTCTCTCTTAAAGATAATGATAACCTTCCAGAGAGAAATATTATATGGAAATTTTTCTCACAAATTAGAACCGTTTCTTCTTTTTTTTTTTTTTTTACGAAAAAACAAAAATAAAAAAAACAAAGTATGCTCTCTCTTTCTCTTTCTCTCTCTTCAATTATTGAACGGAAGAGCCATATTTATACTATATTTAAACAAGAAAATTCGTCGAGTAATTTTAGTTGGCGTAAAATGGCCAAGGCATATGCTTCTTATTTACTAACGTACATAGTTACTATTACTTAGAAATTGTCTCTCTCTCTCTCTCTCTTTTTCCCTCTCTCTCTTTCTTTCTTTCCTTCTGTCTGTCTCGATAGTTCGATAATTGAAAAGCCAAGTTCTATCCCTCTTTCTCTCTTATTTCTCTTTCTCGACTTCATCATCATCGTGCACGTCGATGTTCTCGTTGCACGCACGAACGAAATTATCGGTCATTATACCGACGTATCGTCGCGAGCGAAATTATTCAGCGAACAATACGTAAAGGGACCATGATCTGCTCGATGGTCAATGCCCTGTATCTCTCTTTTCAATGATGCTAACTAAAGATCATGGTACATCGTTGATATAACGTTATTTAAATATAATTCATTATTTTTCTAGAAATATAAATATATATATAAAAAGAAGTTTTTCTCTTAAGAAAAAGAAAAAGAAGAACAGCAACTAAATGAATTAAATTTAATATACCGAAAAATTCGATGGGGATACAAAACCGCATAACGTTTGCGATAGAAAA